TTTAGAGGTGCAAGAACAGACGTACTGCGAGTTTATGTAGCTGTGGGATGACACAGTAGGACTACAGTGGCTGCTCATACAACCAAGTCACACCTGTGTTGGATGTAGAATCATTTATTTTTTCTTCTGGTTTAATAGCAGTTCTTGTCCTTGTCATGTTTTCTTTTAAATTCCGTGTGTTAGTGAGTTACAATTCTTCCTCCGTGAACAATGCAAGTCATTCGAGGCGACTTAAGATTTCGGGGAGCAAGGGACTAATAGCCCCTTCTTAATCAAATACTAAAAAAAAAAAAAATCAATTTATCGGGTAGAATTTCTAGAAGGACATATGAAGCTGATGTTTCGCTATACCGTCTTCTGAACTTGAATAAGGACCAAGTTAGATTTTTTGGAGGAAGAAATTGTTAATGTTTCAAGACATGATAACATGATAAATATTGATTTTTTTAATTTTAGCCAAAATGACTTAATGGACGTAATCAGAGACTAGTGTTTTAAATAGTTTGTGACTGAACCAGCGAGAGTTTGTGACTGAACCAGCGAGAGTTTGTGACTGACCCAGCGAGAGTTTGTGACTGAACCAGCGAGAGTTTGTGACTGAACCAGCGAGAGTTTGTGACTGAACCAGCGAGAGTTTGTGACTGAACCAACAGGCACAAAGGCAATGTAAATAGAGTACAGAGGATATCGTACTAAGAAAGAACTCGAAATAATGGATTCAATTAGAATAAGTTTAGATTTAGAAAGTACATTAGAACGTGTATTAGAAGAAGCGTCTCTACATTAGGACTGAAGAGGTCACTCGAGACAAAATGTTATTTTGATAAGAGTCTTGAACTATGTATATGTCTCTTGACGTACACACTGTGTCACCATACCTGTTCTCCAGATGTTGCTTGTGTGACACACCATAGCACAAGGTCACCCGATGAAATGGAAAAAAAAAAGACCAGATTAGTTTCAGAGCTGGATGATTTGCAAGCGACACTGTCTTGAAGCAGTCCTGAGCCTAGTATCCGACGAGGTGGCCCAAGAACTCTCGAAGTTTTAGCAACTCAAGAGTTCTCTTTAAATTAATTCTGTGCCAGCATACACTGCACAAGAAGGTGACTCACACACTGGCACCTCACTCATCGAACCTGACTCCATGTGTCTCTGTGTATTGTGTGCTCTTCCACGCTTGTATTGCGTTAATAAATCCCTAGTGGGCGAAACGCTTCCTAATAAAATTCCCTGAATCCTAAGGGTGACATGTTTATCAGTACAGATATACCTAGTTAAATCTTCAATGGAAGAGACCTGAACGCTAGCGTGTACACACACATGCACACTTAGGACCAGGAGCTGAGACTCTACCTCATAAACACAAATCGACAAAGTTTTACTCAAAGCTGATCATAGAAAATGTGAATTACTTTCATGGTGATTATATTGGTAGGGAACCGCAAATATTTAGTCATACAGGGACTGTGGTATGAGCTCTGAAGCAAGAACTAGAGTGTAGCACCAGTGCCTTGGATCAAGCACTTTTCACCATATTATATATCAGAACACTGTCCGGCTTGGAGGTGTCAGATCTTACGGCTCAAAAAATTTGTAATTCTTAATAGATAAATCTACAATATTTCTGTGAATACTACAATTGCAAGAAGTAGATACTCGATATTTATCTAGTCTACGTATTAGTGTATTTCTAAGATGAATAAATGAATCACTGAATTCAAAAACATAGAAAGTGCTCATTGTTCGACTCATTTTCGGCATTTTCAAGTTGAAATTCATAGTTACAGTATGTAAGAAAACAGTCAATAACCTGACTATATCATGGATGTGTTTATATCAAAACAGAATGATTCCTCTCACCTCTCTTCCCGTGATTAATTTATAGAAGGAACAAATGAATTCAGTGCCAGTAGAAATAGTCACGTCTTTCCTGACATTTCAGCAAGTATTTTGCCTCATCAACATGTCATCAACATATCGCAGCTGTTTTGTACTAGACAGGAGAATGTTTCTTATATTTCTGGTTTCAAAAATACTATATGCAAATTACTTTGTTCAGGAGGAAAAAAAAATCTCATGGCTCTGCCAGATTTCTATAAATAGAACGTTCAGTTAAACACATATTTAAAGTCTACAGTACATATTTTAATAATTTCCTTTTATTAAAGTTTACAATCAGTATCCATATTGTAGGCGTATAACTTATAAAAAAGTCAACATTATTTGTAACATGACAATAGACACAGTTACTACTATACTCTAAGTGTTCACATATCGACCAGACATTTTTACAATCCTTAGACCTCTGATCCCACAATTTGTAATCGGAGCGACAAACCAGATTAATAATATTCACTTAAGCAAATCAGTAATATTATCCTGTCATGAACTTAACACTGGAAACTGTGCTATCGTAATACGCCCTACTGTTCTATCGTAATACGCCCTACTGTTCTATCGTAATACGCCCTACTGTTCTATCGTGATACGCCCTACTGTTCTATCGTAATACGCCCTACTGTTCTATCGTAATACGCCCTACTGTTCTATCGTAATACGCCCTACTGTTCTATCGTGATACGCCCTACTGTTCTATCGTAATACGCCCTACTGTTCTATCGTAATACGCCCTACTGTTCTATCGTGATACGCCCTACTGTTCTATCGTAATAGCCCTACTGTTCTATCGTAATACGCCCTACTGTTCTATCGTAATACGCCCTACTGTTCTATCGTAATACGCCCTACTGTTCTATCGTCATACGCCCTACTGTTCTATCGTAATACGCCCTACTGTTCTATCGTAATACGCCCTACTGTTCTATCGTGATACGCCCTACTGTTGTATCGTAATACGCCCTACTGTTCTATCGTAATACGCCCTACTGTTCTATCGTAATACGCCCTACTGTTCTATCGTAATACGCCCTACTGTTCTATCGTAATACGCCCTACTGTTCTATCGTAATACGCCCTACTGTTCTATCGTAATACGCCCTACTGTTCTATCGTAATACGCCTACTGTTCTATCGTAATACGCCTACTGTTCTATCGTAATAGCCCTACTGTTCTATCGTAATACGCCCTGCTGTTCTATCGTAATACGCCCTACTGTTCTATCGTAATACGCCCTACTGTTCTATCGTAATACGCCCTACTGTTCTATTTGCTTCGGATTCCACACAAGGAAATTTGAAATACATTTTTTGTCTTTTGCCGGGAAATGTAAGAATACTTTCATATAACTGATAAAACAGAAAAAATAGCGGGTAAAGGAAGAAATGTGATGAAGATGCTGTGAGGCTGTGATAAGATGCTGTGAGGCTGTGACAAGATGCTGTGAGGCTGTGACAAGATGCTGTGAGGCTGTGACAAGATGCTGTGAGGCTGTGATAAGATGCTGTGAGGCTGTGACAAGATGCTGTGAGGCTGTGACAAGATGCTGTGAGGCTGTGACAAGATGCTGTGAGGCTGTGACAAGATTCTCGCTCATTGTTACTTATGGGAGGAGTGAACAATTTGGCTTCGTGATATTAATTCTTTGTTGTTCATTCTTAGTTCTTTGTTCTTAGCACTAATAGCTTTTACCTTAACAGAACAAACTAATAAGAAAGCAAATTTGTACTAATATACCACAAATGAACCCACATTGATACAATAACACGGAAGAGAAGAAACACTTTTTTCCGGCCTACCACCAAGGCTCTCTGCAGTAAACTTCAGTTTGCTGATGAAGAGCTCAGTGGAAGGTGAAATTATAGTATTGTTGTATTGTCTCCTTGTGGGTTCGTGTGTGTTACTAGCCATTGATTACTATACGTTCTTTTAATTTATATATGTTTGATTTCAATATTTATTGTGCAGAGCTAGGCATCAATACTGCAAATGTCAATAATTTGGAGTCCTGGACAGTAACTGGTATTGTGGAGTTAAGCAGTGTTGGTGGTGTGTTGTGTGATGCGGTGGTGGGTAGGTGTGTCATACTGTGCAGACGTGTGATGCCTGAGTTTAAGGTAATTAGAATAATACTTAAAGATGTTGAGGCATTATGTTGTTATTACACAATCTTCAACACACACACAAACACAGCGCTCGGTTACCCCATTTTGTATGATATTTACAACGGGTGAAGAAAAGATAGCTGTGTTTCCCTGTCATATTCCATCATACAGGATGGGATGCATACACGAGGTAATGAAATCTCTCAGCCTGAGCTAGGAGGAGACTTCAGTAGAACGATGACGATATTAGTTAATGCACTGTTGATGCAATGTTAATGTATTGGTATATTAGACTGCTTCAGAGTTCAGTGTTTATAGTACATCTATGTTTGGCCGCTAAAATGTTAGAGGTAATGTTATTTTTTTGGTAGTGTAGTTGCATTCCATGAAGACATATTATGACTGGCTAACAATATTCTGTGTGTAATACATTGCTCTTGTCTCCCCCTCCCTCCACCGAACAGAGGAACTCTCCCATTTTGGTAAAGTATTATGCTTCTCCCTTTCATATTCTTATAATTATCATTCATTCCCCTTTGTGTAAGTCACTCACTTTCTTCACACATGGAACATTTTTTTTTAACTTGCTGCCTCACAGTTTATATAGCTTTCTAGGTGAAAGACTAGCTTTACTTGCAGTATCATTAAGGAACCACAATAACTCCAGCTTACTTTGTGTGTGCAGAACAGGGCGGAGGGTTGACAGCCATAACACAATGTGAGGATGTGGAGACTGACGAGGGTGGCTCAGTCTACTGTAATGTACGCTTATCAAAAACACAAGCTGAACAACTAGATCCTTCCTCACTGTCTCCTGACGAAGGGGACGACATAACCCAGGCTCCTCCTCACCACCATATCGATCGCATCGAGTTTACACCCACAGCGGACAATGACGCAGCTGAAATACTTGACGGATATGAAGAGGCCGGTGGTAGCCACGTCCAGAACACCAGCAGGAGACGTGCTGGCTTTAATGGAGGCTACACCATGGTCGTAGATAGCAACTCCAGTGATCAGGACTACGATTATATCTACACCTCCGAAGACCACTACCCGACCGGCATAGACGGAACCACCCTCTTAGATTACTGGCAGCCCGAGTCTCAGCCAGAACCCGAACCCGAACCTGAACTCGAACCAGAACCCGAGTTTGAACCCGAACCTGAACTCGAACCAGAACCCGAACCTGAACCCGAACCTGAACTTGAACCAGAACCCGAGTTTGAACCCGAACTTGAACTCGAACCAGAACCCGAACCTGAACCCGAACCTGAACTCGAACCAGAACCCGAGTTTGAACCCGAACCTGAACTCGAACCAGAACCCGAGTTTGAACCCGAACCTGAACTCGAACCAGAACCCGAGTTTGAACCCGAACCTGAACTCGAACCAGAACCCGAAACTGAACCCGAACCTGAACTCGAACCAGAACCCGAGTTTGAACCCGAACCTGAACTCGAACCAGAACCCGAAACTGAACCCGAACTAAAACCCGAGTTTAAACCCGAGCCTGAACCTGAAACCGATCTCAAATTCGAATACAAGCCTGAGCTCAAGTTCAAACCTGAGTCTGAAACCAAGTTCGAACCTGAAACCGAACACATCGCCGGTGACGATGACGCTCCTGTAGAAAGTCCAGATGGTGACACTCCAGTAGAAAGTCCTGATGGTGACGCTCCAGTAGAAAGTCCTGATGGTGACGCTCCAGTAGAAAGTCCTGATGGTGACGCTCCAGGAGAAAGTCCTGATGGTGACGCTCCAGTAGAAAGTCCTGATGGTGACGCTCCAGGAGAAAGTCCTGATGGTGACGCTCCAGAAGAAAGTCCAGATGGTGACACTCCAGTAGAAAGTCCTGATGGTGACGCTCCAGTAGAAAGCCCTGATGGTGACGCTCCAGGAGAAAGTCCTGATGGTGATGATCCAGAAGAAAGTTCTGATGGTGACGCTCCAGGAGGAAGTCCTGATGGTGACGCTCCAGTAGAAGGCCGTGATGGTGACACTCCAGTAGAAGGTCCTGATGTTGACACTCCAGTAGAAGGTCCTGATGGTGACACTCCAATTGAAAGTCTTGATGGTGACACTCCAGTAGAAAGTCTTGATGGTGACACTCCAGTAGAGGGTCGTGATGGTGACACTCCAGTAGAAAGTCTTGATGGTGACACTCCAGTAGAAAATCTTGATGGTGACACTCCAGTAGAAAGTCTTGATGGTGACACTCCAGTAGAGGGTCGTGATGGTGACACTTCAGTAGAAAGTCTTGATGGTGACACTCCAGTAGAAAGTCTTGATGGTGACACTCCAGTAGAAGGTCTTGAGGGTGACACTCCAGTAGAGGGTCCTGATGGTGACACTTCAGTAGAAGGCCTTGATGGTGACACTCCAGTAGAAGGTCCTGATGGTGACATTCTAGTAGAGGGTCCTGATGGTGACACTCCAGTAGAGGGTCCTGATGGTGACACTCCAGTAGAAGGTCCTGATGGTGACACTCCAATTGAAAGTCTTGATGGTGACACTCCAGTAGAAGGTCCTGATGGTGACACTCCAGTAGAAAGTCTTGATGGTGACACTCCAGTAGAGGGTCGTGATGGTGACACTCCAGTAGAAAGTCTTGATGGTGACACTCCAGTAGAAAATCTTGATGGTGACACTCCAGTAGAAAGTCTTGATGGTGACACTCCAGTAGAGGGTCGTGATGGTGACACTTCAGTAGAAAGTCTTGATGGTGACACTCCAGTAGAAAGTCTTGATGGTGACACTCCAGTAGAAGGTCTTGAGGGTGACACTCCAGTAGAGGGTCCTGATGGTGACACTTCAGTAGAAGGCCTTGATGGTGACACTCCAGTAGAAGGTCCTGATGGTGACATTCTAGTAGAGGGTCCTGATGGTGACACTCCAGTAGAGGGTCCTGATGGTGACACTCCAGTAGAAGGTCCTGATCCAGGTGTTTATTCTCCAGTGGATGACGGTGATGGTGACGGTGATGGTGTCTATTATCAAGTAGATAATGGTGATGGTAGGGTGTATTCTCACGTAGATGATGGTGGTGACAGTGACCTTTATTCTCCAACAGTGGATGATGATGTTGATGTGGATGAGGATGTCTATTCTCCACTGGATGTGGATGACGATGAGGGCTTCATTGCAGTAGGTGTTGTTCCGGTAGAGGATGAGGTTATTACTCCAGTAGAAGATGAGGTTATTACTCCAGTAGAGGATGAGGTTGTTACTCCAGTAGAGGATGAGGTTATTACTCCAGTAGAGGATGAGGTTATTACTCCAGTAGAGGATGAGGTTGTTACTCCAGTAGAGGATGAGGTTGTTACTACAGCAGAGGATGAGGTTGTTACTCCAGTAGTGGATGAGGTTGTTACTCCAGTAGAGGATGAAGTTGTTGCTCCAGTAGAGGAAGTTTTCCCTCCAGTAAGATATGATGACGAGGGTTATGGTTCAGTAGAGGGTAGTGATGAAGGTTATGGTTCGGTTGAGAGTAGTGGTAGTGATGTTGTGTTCACTCCCACTGATGGTTCTGGTAGTGATGACTGTTATTCAGGTGGTGATGAGGGCGACGTCACAACAGCGAGTGGTGAGGAGGCTTCCACACCCTCTGGAATTAGTGGTGATGACCGCATCCCAGTTAGGGGTTGTGGAAATGAAGATTACTACACGGAGAGTGTGTCTAATGAGAAGGTAGATACCGTCACAGAGGCTACAAGTGGTGAAAATAATCTGACTCTGGTCTTTCCTGACGACGAGAGCCTCAGGATATCTGGAGGATCCAGTAGTGGAGACTATGGAGCAGAAGACGAGTACTTCCCACTGACTGACACTGCAAGTGAAGAAGTGATTCCTGGAGGAGAGTTTAGCGAGGAAGCTTCCTCAACCCCGAGTATTTATGAACCAGAAGCAGTAGATGAAGGAGGAAGGGAAGATTATACGGTGGAGCCTTTAATTATCGACACTATGGACGAAGACGAGCCGAGTAGTGGAGTACCTGGTGAGTCAGATGAGGTGGACGATGGGAATGAAACTGATAGAAGTGTGGATGGTGAGGAGACACCTCCAGTATTTGGAAAAGACCATGCGATTCATGAGCTTGGCGTCAGTGTAGAACCATATCCAACTGGTAGCCAAGATACACTCTACGATTATCACGAGGCCCAGGAAAAATATTCAAGACCACAGGAACACGATATTTCAGAAAATCTCACAATTTATCCTATCGTTCCGGAAGATCCTACGAAATCAGTAGCAACAGAAGCGACTTCGGAGGTAGAGAGAGGGTTCTCGGTGGACCCCAGAGGAGTAGCCAACTCTACCATCCTCTCGTCAGAGCCGCCACGACAGGTACCAGGTGCAGCCCCTGCTGATGTAGAGCTTTCCCTACCAGGTAACTCGTTCTTTGATGGCACATGCAAGATATGTTTCTTGAGAGAGATACCGCTATCTTGTGACATACCGTACCATAGTTCTGTAGGTACCAGATAACTCTACTTGTGATGGCACATGCAAGTTACGAGTTTCTTCAGAGAGATACCGCTGTATTGAGACATGCCAAGTTTCTTCAGAGAGTTACTGCTGTATTGTGACTTGCCGTACCTTAGTTCTGTAGGTACCAGGTAACTCTACCTGTGATGGCACATGCAAGTTCTTCAGAGAGTTACCGTTGTATTGTGACATGCCGTACCTTAGTTCTGTAGGTACTAGGTAACTCGGTCTTTGATGGCACATGCAAGTTACGAGTTTCTTCAGGAGTTACCGCTGTATTGTGACATGCCGTACCTTAGTTCTGTAGGTACCAGGTAACTCTACCTGTGATGGCACATACAGGGTATAAGTTTCTTCAGAGAGTTACTGTTGCATTGTGAGTTGCCGTACCTTAGTTCTGTAGGTACTTGGACCTTGCTGCCGTGTGTAAGAGACACGACCGAAGACCCTTTTTTTTTTTTTTTGTAAAGCGACAAGCTCTCTTCATGAGCTGATCAGATACCTCGTGTTTGCAAAGGATTTATTTATTTGTGGAGACCACACTCTAAGGAGTACAGAGTGTGACTCAGTCCACCAGCTTGCCTGTGTCTAGCCATCATTCTTGCACTCATAGTAGCAGTGGCCTTGCCTGCACATCACTCCCGCCTGGGTTGCTAACATATCATTTAAACATATCCTCTTAAACAGTAGTTCTGAAAAAAATATACATATAACTGGTTTTAATACAAAGCATGTTCTATATTTAACATACATTGCGATTTAATAATGCACCAATTTTATTCATTCTAAATTCCTTCCTTTCACAATACATAGACTCTTGAGGCTGCATGTGTGACCACGGGCTATGGTTCTTGTCGATATATTTGCAACTTTTATCGTACATTATGATTTACTAGGCTTAAGTTGCCATTGTTTGTATAGCAATGACAGTGAGCATATAGTTACTTCCTAGACCTTGTTAAATATTTTTCATCTGATCACATTTTCTACATATAATCGTGTATTCAATAAACAGTTTGATTACTGCCTCAAGTAGCACAAACACACAAACGCACACGTGTATAATTGCCGTTATTAAGACATATAACCTTAAATTTAAAGCACATTCCTTATATTTGCTCTTCAAATCTGTCACTCTGGTATAATATTCATTCTGTAGAAAAAGATGTGATCTTGGAACGCTAGTTGTTATTAGTACTGTACAACATCGCAGTAAAATTATATAGTTTGGTATCGTAACTGCCAGTATATAGACAAGTCGGTAAGTCCAGTTAGGTACAATATCTCGTTATTAGACTTTACCTGAGCTGACTAACCCACACGGGTTTAGTTTCACAAGGAAAGAAAAGTGCTGCCTGTGCAGTGGAAGGGTGTACAGTAAGACAAATGATGCTACACTTTCACTGACCTTGACGAAGCTCATACCTAGCATGCCCAGGCATATGTCGCTACTGCTCACACTCAACTAACATTATCAAGGTCGTAACTTACAGCATCTCACACGAACCTAGATAGACTGTTTACCTTAAACTGATTACTAGAACCTTTTGTGTACCATAGTGTACCACCAGGTCACTAGCACCTATTCTACATTATCTTAATTTCGAGCAAAATATTTTAGTCTCCTAACTGGAAAAGAGAAAGTGCATCTGCCTGGAATACTGAAAATGAAACACAGAAAGTAATTTCTAAGTTACAATTCCAAATACGTTACACTGCAGATGTGTTTCTCATCTTCAGTATGGTGGACAAGTTGATGGTTAGATTATTGAGGATACTGGTGCAATCTCATCATTTCTTTCTTGCATAAGTTCATCATCTGGCTCACCCACTCATGCCTGCACACTGTCTAACACAATGTTACATCTACTAACACCTGTTAGAGACCCACAGTTATTGCATACGCACGCACCACCAACCTTATGTTTTTAACTAACAAAATAACACTTTGTTAGAATTTCTAGCTGTGCATTTCCATCTATACATGTTCCACGAAGTGATCTGCCTCTCTTATAGGCACTCTTATAGGCACCTCCGAGACACTCAAGGTATAAGTCCGTCATGACTGGTATGCATACTGTGTGAAGTATAGATATACTTGAAGATATATATCGCTGGTTGTACACACTGAGAAGTGTATATACAGTGAAATGACTATATCTCAGGGTATATACAGAAGTGTATATATATCTCTGAGTATAGCCACCAAGAGTTTGCTTAGTCCTTTCTTAATGGATTAAAGCAGTCTAGATGCTAATGTTAAAACTGGACTACAGCCTTAATGACCCACGAACAGTCAACAGGCATTAAACCCAATAATCTTACCTTACCCTGTCTTACTTGTCTAGAGTCCTGCTGAAGTGGTCTTTCCTGTGGGAGTCATCCCTCCTGTGGGAGTCATCCCTCCTGTGGGAGTCATCCCTCCTGCGGGAGTCATCCCTCCTGTGGGAGTCATTCCTCCTGTGTGAGTCATTCCTCCTGTGGGAGTCATGCCTCCTATGGGAGTCATGCCTCCTGTGAGAGTCATCCCTCCTGTGGGAGTCATCCCTCCTGCGGGAGTCATCCCTCCTGTGAGAGTCATTCCTCCTGTGGGAGTCATTCCTCCTGTGGGAGTCATGCCTCCTATGGGAGTCATGCCTCCTGTGAGAGTCATCCCTTCTGCGGGAGTCATCCCTCCTGTGGGAGTCATCCCTCCTGTGGGAGTCATCCCTCCTGCGGGAGTCATCCCTCCTGTGGGAGTCATTCCTCCTGTGGGAGTCATCCTCTGGGGATCATGCCTCTGTGGGAGTCATGCCTCCTGTGGGAGTCATCCTCCTGTGGGAGTCATCCCTCCTGTGGGAGTCATTCCCTGTGGGAGTCATCCTCCTGTGGGTCATCCTCTGTGGGAGTATCCTTCCTGTGGGAGTCATCCTCCTGTGGGAGTCATCCTCTGTGGAAGTGATCTCTCCTATGGGAGTCATCCCTCCTGTGGGAGTCATCACTTCTGTGGGAGTGATCCTTCCTGTGGGAGTCATCCCTCCTGTGGGAGTTCATCCTCTGTGGGATATCTTGGAGTCATCCCTCCTGTGGGAGTCAAACCCTCCTGTGGGAGTGACCTTCTGTGGAGTCTTCTGTGGAGTCATCCCTCCTGTGGGAGTCATCCCTCCTGTGGGAGTAATCCCTTCTGTGGGAGTGATCACTTCTGTGGAGTCATCCCTCCTGTGGGAGTGATCACTCCTGTGGGAGTCATCCCTCCTGTGGGAGTGATCCCTTCTGTTGGAGCGATCCCTCCTGTGGGAGTGATCCCTCCTGTGGGAATGATTCTTCCTGTGGGAGTGATTCCTCCTGTGGGAGTGATTCTTCCTTTGGGTGTGATCCCTCCTCTGGGAGTGGTTCCTCCTCTGGGAGTGATTCTTCCTGTGGGCGTTATCCCTCCTGTGGGAGTCATCCCACCTGTGGAAATGATCCCTCTTGTGGGAATGATCCCTCCTGTGGGAGTTATCCCTCCAGGGAGTGATCCCTCCTGTGTGAGTGATCCCTCCTGTGGGAGTGATCCTTCCTGTAGGAGTGATCCCTCCTGTGGGAGTGATCCTTCCTGTGGGAGTGATTCCTCCTGTGGGAATGATCCCTCCTGTGGAAGTCATCCCTCCTGTGGGAGTCATCCCTCCTGTGGGAGTCATCCCTTTTGTGCGAGTGATTCCTAATGTGGGAGTGATCCCTCCTGTGGGAGTGAATCCCTCCTGTGGGAGTGATCCCTCTTGGGGGAGTGATCCCTCCTGTGGGAGTGATCTCTTTTGTGGGAATGATCCCTCCTGTGGGAGTCATCCCTCCTGTGGGACGGGTCTCTCGTGTAGGGGGGTCCCTAGTGTGGGAGTCATCCCTCCTGTGGAAGTCATCCCTTCTGTGACAGTGATCCCTTCTGTGGGAGTTATCACTCCTGAGGGAGTGATCCCTCCTGTGGGAGTGATCCCTCCTGTGGGAGTGATCCCTCCTGTGGGAATGATCCCTCCTGTAGGAGTCATCCCTCCTGTGGGAGGGGTCTCTCCTGTGGGAGGGGTCCCTCGTGTGGGAGTCATCCCTCCTGCGGGAGTCATCCCTCATGTGGGAGTTATCCCTCCTGTGGGAGTCATCCCTCCTGTGACAGTGATCTCTCCTGTAGGAGTGATCACTTCTGTGGGAGTGATCCCTCCTTTGGGAGTGATTCCTCCTGTGGGAATGATCCCTCCTGTGGGAGTGATCCCTCCTGAGGGAGTGACTCCTTCTGTGGGAGTCATCCCTCCTATGGGAGTGTTCCCTCCTGTGGGAGTCATCCCTCACGTGGGAGTTATCCCTCCTGTGGGAGTCATCCCTCCTTTGGGAGTCATCCCTCACGTGGGAGTCATCCCTCAAGTGGGAGTTATCCCTCCTGTGGGAGTCATCCCTCTTGTGGGAGTTATCCCTCTTGTGGGAGTCATCCCTCCTGTGGGAGTCATCCCTCCTGTGGGAGTCATCCCTCTTGTGCGAGTCATCCCTCTTGTGGGAGTCATCCCTCCTGTGGGAGTCATCCCTCCTGTGGGAGTCATCCCTCCTGTGGGAGTAATCCCTCTTGTGCGAGTCATCCCTCTTGTGGGAGTCATCCCTCCTGTGGGAGTCATCCCTCCTGTGGGAGTCATCCCTCCTGTGGGAGTCATCCCTCTTGTGCGAGTCATCCCTCTTGTGGGAGTCATCCCTCCTGTGGGAGTCATCCCTCCTGTGGGAGTCATCCCTCCTGTGGGAGTCATTTCCCCCTTGTGCGAGTCATCCCTCTTGTGGGAGTCATCTCTCCTGTGGGAGTCATCCCTCCTGTGGGAGTCATCCCTCTTGTGGGAGTCATCCCTCCTGTGGGAGTCATCCATCCTGTGGGAGTCATCCCTCCTGTGGGAGTAATCCCTCCTGTAGGAGTCA